CATTGAATGAAATATATATGTATTGTATCTCGTTTTTTGTTTGTTTTGTATTTGCACACCTACTCGTGCCGAGGGAGTGCTCCAGAGGTGTTTTCCTCAATTCGTTTTTTTGAGGTCAGATGTGTTCTTGGGGTCATATATTTGATGAAAGCCCACTTTTCTTGACCTCAAATCACACAATTGACCCCAAAAGCCGAATAGACGAATACACCTCATGTGCGTGCGCGCGTGTGCGCGGCCCCGTATCGCGCCAGGTGGCTTCCTGTCGTGCGCGTAGTGCGTTTGATCATTGGGTGGGTGGTTGTGTGTGTGTGCGTATGCGTATGTGGGAATGGGGGAGGGGGGGGGGTCTGTAGTCTCGACTACAACCCCCGCCAAACGCCTTTTCTGCTTCGTGTTGGAACGAAGCTCTCGGACCCAGAATTTTTGCAAACTGCTGAGCCGCTTATATACTTATATACTTATATACGAATTCTTCACCAGCTTCATCTCTACCACCCCTGCTGCCAGGACTGATGTCTGACGTCGATGAAATCTGTGACTGAACACAGCCTGTTGAACCATGCTGAACCGCTACAATTATCATCATCGTCATCATCCACCACCACCACCATCATCATCATCATCATCATTGCAATAATAACAACAACGACAATAATAATAATAATAATATGTTCTATGTCCTCGCAGGACTACATCCTGTCGCCCAAGCTCAACGGCTTTCGCGCGCTGCACTCCACCGTACAGCTCCACTCCAGCGGCTACTTCGTCGAGGTCCAGCTGCGCGGGCGCACGATGCACGAGGAGGCGGAGCGCGGCGTGGCCTCGCACAGCATGTACAAGGCGCAGCTTGAGCAGCCGCAGAAGCTGATCGGGGCGCCGCTGCCGCCGACCACGCGCCCGCTGCTCTCAGTGTCGAATGAACGGGCCGACGAGTGCGCGGAGGCGACGTCTAGTGACGCAAGATAAGAATTCGCGCAACGTAGGGCCAACTTGACAATGACATGGCACGGCGCTGGGAGCACGTCAGTCACTGTTACTAAGACAGGCTTATTCATTATTTCCTATTATTTTATTAAATTCATCTTCTGCATGTAACTAACTTAACTAATTTATTAAGTTCGGATATACCCTTGCCCGGGCACACAACTGGAGATCCATCGGCACGCGCGGTGGCGCCCAAGCCAGCGCAGCCGACTAAAGCACGCAGCAGGCAATGGGCGACGCAGCGCTCAGACCAGCACAACATGCAGAACAGTCAGACGCCAGCTTGAATCCCTATCATAAATATACCAGTTAATAGGGGCTGGCCGCTGGGGGGGGGGGTCCTAGGGGGCGGGGACAAAAATGTGAAGTGGGGCTTGGGACCGGAAACGCCTATTTACATCGTCAAACATCCATAATGAGCCTCTTTTTCCTATTTGTATTTTTATAAAGGGCCAAAACATATCTTCGAAAGCTAAAGGCCAGGGGGCCGACCTGGACCGGCTGCTGGCCGGGCGCCTCCGGCAGAGACTTCGTTAAACGTAACAATAATACTACGTACGACGATTTGAAAAATACTTAATATATATATGACGGTATCCAAAATAACCCCTTACGCTAGCTAATGCTATGCCTTCTAATTCTATCCTCATTTTTCACCGGTAGTTTCAGTTAGTTTCAGTTCGTAACTTGACTCATGGTCAGACTTGAAAATCAAGGTGATCCGCACTGATCCGGAGCCGCTGTCCCTGTCGGCTATCGCGTCATCTGATTCTGCACGGTGGCGGAGCTCCAAGTCATGATCGATCTCATCTTCATAGCCATACAGGTTCACTAATATATATTGACTGATAGGGATTCAAGCTGGCGTCTGACTG